TCTCCGCGGGAACCGCGCTCGTCTGCTCTTTCTTCGCCGCTTTGGGCGCCTGTTTCGGCGACTCCTTCTCCTCCTCCTTCACAGCCTCGTCGGGCTCCTCCTTCGTCTCACTCTCAGCCTCGGTGGGCTCCTCTTCCTCCTCCTCCTCGAAATCCGGGGTCACGTCAGCCGGGCTCGTCGGCAGTGCAGCCGGGGACGGCTCCTGCCTGCTCTTCTTAGCCGGGCTCGGCTCGTACTCCGAAGAGGTTCCAGCCGCCGCGGGCTCTGTCTTGACAGCCGCTTTGGGCTCACCCTTCTCAGCCGCCACGGGCTCAACCTTGTCGGACTCTGCTTCCTCAGCCTCCGCGGGCTCCGTTGGGCTGCAAACGGCCTGCACAGGGAAGTTTTAAGGGGAGGGTTTAGGGTTTAGGGTTTAGGGTTTAGGGTTTATAGGGTTTAGGGTTTCTATAAAAGGGTTCAGATGCATATGGTTTAGGTATAAGGTTTACGGTTTAACTTTATATTCATACCTTAATAACTTATAAACCACAAAAGCAAAACCTTGCTCTCCAGTCCTCCACCGCTGCGGCATCTCGTGCCCTCTGCTCCTCCGCGGCCTTGAACTCAGCGACAATGCGCTCCTCCACTGACGTCAGCTCTCGCGTCTCGCGCGCGTTCTCCAGCTGCGCCACGAGCTCCAAAAGCATCTCGCGGGGCAGCTCCATGGCTCACGAGTGGCAACTTACAGGCTTCAAAGTGCAGTGAACACTTTTTAGTCTTATACAGGCCTAAGAGTGCAGTGAAGTGCGTGGCCCATGACCTTATATGTAGTTTAGAGGGGCCTCGGACTGCAGTGAAGTGTATGGCCCTGACTATATGTAGTTTAGAGTGTTGCATGATCATGATACTCTATAAGCAAGACATGTACACCTCGAAATGACACCGACTGAGTCAAGTGCCCAATTCGAGGCTGCAAGTAGATGCTGTGCTTCCTGCATGCGGTGCTTGCTGCTGCGAATGCTGCTGTGGTTGCTGCTGTGCTTGCATGCTGTGCTTGCTGCTGTGGTGTGCTGCTGTGAAGGCGTGCATGGACATGGTCGTTCTGCTACCCTCATGCGTGCTTGACATGAGCGGCGCGGACGTCGATAATGTCAGAAATGTCCCGCCATGTGTCTTCCGCACTGCAGATCAGCTGCCAGAAAAGGCATGTTAAAGCAACAACTCACATGATGCAAGTCTCCGTTTCACTAGAAATAATAAATATATATATATGTAATATATGAAATGACAAAAATCTCTTACATCAAAGCTTGCGATGCACAGCATCATTGAAAAGGGGCTGCTATCATGCAAGATGTGCGACTCGCACAATCAAAAGTCACAAAAGCAACTTGAATCATCTTTCTTCTTTGGTCGCAGAAGCATCCACATGCTGTCGCATTCCATATATACATGTGACTGCAAAACTGTATATACAAACCGCTGGAGTTCAGCGCTCGTCCTCGTCCGCCTCTTCGCTTTCCTCTTCCGACTCCTCAGCAACCGGCGCTGCGCGCCCTGGCCGCCGCGCCTGGGGGCGCGCTCGCGTCCCGCGGCCTCGCCCGCGGGGGCGGCCACGGTGGCCGCCGCCTCGGGGGCGCTCGGCGGTAAAACGTCCGCTCCGAACGTACTCCCTGGCCGACGTGGCGGCACAGCTCTCGCAGTCCTGCGCCAACTTGTCAAACACCGCAGCGAGCTGCGCGCTGTCCCATGCCACCCGCAGGTCCATGCTGTGCTTAAGCGGCACCAACATCTGCACTCGGGTGCCGCTTACGTCCACGGACACCACATGCACCTCCTCGTGGTCAGCACTTGCTCTCCGCCGCTTGGGCGCTCGCTCCTCCGCAAACAGCGAGTCACCCCGCATCGCAGCATCGGCCGCGCGATCGCGCGCCACCTTCAAAGCCTCCAGCTGCTCGGAGCTTGCCAGCGACATGCCTCGAGGGCACTTACCGCAGAGGAGTGCGCACAGCCAGGGCGCCGTCGGGCGCAACTGCAAGAACTGCACACCTTCATGCCAGCTCAAAAACTGTTTCGGCACCTTCCGCGACACTTGGCCGCGCTGCAAGAACCACTCCTGCGTCATACGCACCTCCATTGCAGCGAACCTTTCTAAAAACGCCCTATAAATGCGTTCTTCTATATAAAGAGTGCATGCGAGTGTGTCACGCTGAAAGGCATGCATGGTTTGCATGCATGCTTTATATATATATATATATAATGCTTTCGCATGCGTGCCCCATGAGGAAGCGCAACATTTCAGCAGCTATGAGAAACGTATATAGCCATGCAATCAAGAAACATGCTGCCATCCTGCATGCATTCTGGACATTTTTCAATTTGGGCACATCTGGCCGATGCACTCCTTTTCTTCTCACGCCGCCTTCTTGGCGCGCTTCTTCGGCGATGCCTGGTCGGGCGCCCTCAGCTGCAGGAGCTCATGCTTCCGCACTTCCTGCTCATTCGTGAGCACCGGAACGGTGAGACCTGCGACTTTGGCACTCGTGAAGACCAAGTTGCCTTCCTCGGCCGGCTTATTGGCCCACCAAAATGCGACAAGCGCACTCGCCTTGGCAAAGTCTGCGGTTGGACGCAGAGGCTGCACAGTGAACTGCTCGCCTTCGAACTGCAGCAAGACTGCACCCTCCTTGGCGGTTTCGCCCTCTTTCAAGGCAACTAAAGTGCCCCCAGGCCAGAGCTTAAGCTTCTTGGCCTTGTACGTCTTGTCCGCGAAAATCGCGCACGGGTTCCCAGCGAACAAAAGCGCGCCACAGCCGGAGTGCTGCTCAAACTGCTGCCACAGCAAGGTCTGGGCACGCAGTCTGCGGATTTCGCCGCTGAAGACGCAGGGTGCCTGCAGTGCAGCAGCCAAAGAGGGCTCACAGAGGACACACTCCAGCGCCTGCGTGCGCTTCCAAGCCTTCAGCTTCGAGAGCTCCTCCCTGACTTCGACCTCCGCGTCGAACAACCGCTTCCCGCGGAAGGTCGCGCCAGCACTGTCCACGCTCACGAGGCGGAAGACCTGACCCGCGTGCTCCTTGTGAGTATACCGCTCCCCAATGATCAAATGCTTGTTGGCATGCATGGCCACAACCGCCGGGTCGGCGCACTCCTGCAAGCTCAAAGCTCTTGCCGGCTGCTTCTTGGAGCACCTGCCACTGCCGCTAGAGGGCACCGCTGCAGGGGCAGCTTCGCCCTGCACCTCAGTCGCGAACAACGCGCTCAGCTCAGCAAGGTCCTTGTAGACTATGCCCTCCCTGCCAGCCTTCTGCTTCTGGAGCAAAAGAAGCACGGCTCGCGTCATCAAGCGGCCCATGGCCTTCAAAGGCTCCCCCCCGTCTGTGTCCGCCAACGCGGCGGCCTGTTCGTAAACAGGCCAGGCGCGCTGCAGACACATTTCTGTGTCCGCCACCCGCTGCGAGAGCGCCGCAGTTTTCAGCTTGTCCGCGTCACTCGGCAAGAGGAGGCGCGCATAGCCGTCCTTGACTTTCCATGACGGCGCCGTCAGCTGACACGCCATGAAGGCGCACCGAGTCAGCGGCAAAAGCTGCTCCTTGACTTCCGTCGCGACCACCGCGCGCACAAAATCTTCCCCAAGCAGCACAGATGCTCCATGCTTGGTCAAGGCTGCAAGAAACTGCACCAGCGGGAACCGCTCCTTTTCGCCACCTCCGTATAGGAGCACGAACTTCACCAACTGCGGCAGGTACTTGCCGCACGCGGGCTTGCCCAGCAGAATTTGCTCCTCAGCCGCGGCTCTGCGCGCCTCCTCTGCGCAGGTCGCACTCTGCTGCAGAAACAGACGTGCAAACGTCTGCATGCACTCGATCTCGCCGAGGACCTTCGCAGCTGCGTGCGCCGTATTGTATGACTGCTGGAAAGCACTCGGCAGCTGCGGAAAGCTCGCCTCAACGGCCGCGGTGATGATCACCCATTCCCACCCGTCGCGCAGAAGCACGTTGACCGGGTGGTCGGGCTCGCGCCCCGCCACAAGGGCGCCCAAAGAGCTGCCGTCCGCTGCGCGAGCGCCCGTCACACACGCCTTAAAAAAGGCCGCAGTGTGCGAACCCGCCACCGTTAGGAACCTTTCGGTTCGAGACACGGGCGCCAAGAGCCCCTCAGACGCAGCGACTAAGCGCTCGTTCGCTTCGAACTGCGACTCCCGCGCCACAGCATCGCTGCTCATCTCGAAGCACACGCTGCCCGCTTCCAGGAGCTCCCGCCGCAACCCAGCCTCCAGCATCACTCTGCCGTTGGCGTGCGCATCATGCGGCTGCACCATGAGCCCTCCCCGGTTATTGGGGTGGACCAGCATAGCCGTCACAGGCTCCCTTCGCTTGTATGCAAGACCTGCGCTCATCAGCAACTTCACCACCTTTTCCACCTTGGTCCCCAGCTCATCGTGAGAGCTCTCCATGACCGCCGCGACTTCTGCGCGCGTCCCTGCCTCCATGGCTCGACAGAAAACTGGACTTGCCTATGCCTCGCAGAGTGCATGCACTGTTATGTGCTGATGCAGCGCGTGTGCTAACTGCATGGCCTGCATGAAATCTATATGCATATATATATGATGTGCACACTTCAAAACGACGCCAACAGAGTCAAGCGCCGGTTTGAGGAAGGTGCTGTATACGTGCTTCATGTAGTGCTACCTGTGCATGCTGCTGTGCATGCTGCTGTGCTTGCTGCTGTGGTGCTGCTGTGCAACCATGTCCCCGGAGCAGCGCCTCCGGGGCAAGCTTGGTCATGCACGACTTCGAGCCGGCACCGAGTTGGATGCAATTCTCAAAGGAAATTCGAAACGAAATGCTGGCATGTCAGTGATAACAACTGTTCCATATCGGATTACAACTTGCTTCTGCCGCCAATCGCCACTCAAGGATTTCTTCATCCTGATCCAGTATAAATGACACTTGGAAGTGTCTGATAAGTGGTTACGTAATCCGGATTATAACCACTATAGGACTTATGTTTTTTATGCTTAACCACTTACATAACCTATCATAACCTTTTGTATAACTTCCATAAAAATTATAATTTTTACATAAACCCACATAACTTCTGTAACCTTTTAACAAACTTATAACAGTTTACTACTGGGTTGTAATCAGGTTACTACCAGGTTACTACCAGTTTGTCATTCTCTATAATCCTTCTAAGTCATTAGCTAAAACACGGTCCATTAAAGTAGGGTAAATGTCGGCGGATGCGATTGCCGACCTCCACGACGCTGCCCAAGCGGCGAGCATGATGATGGAGAGCACGGCGGCTGGAGTTA